GTTGGTCTCCACTCAACTGCACCCTACACATAATAATCAAGGTGGACTCCCGGTGTGGGGAGTTAGGTAGCCAAATGTAAGGGGTAATGTGATCGTCGGCCTACGTGTTGAATCTGAGGAACTTACCAACAAATTAGGGGTTCTTTTTTTATCAGAACGATCAGATTGAGTTTTCTTAATTGCCGAACCTTTATAATCACCATTAGACTCATTCAATTCTTTCTGAGTCCTCTGCACTGTCCCCAGACTGACACCCAATCACTCTGAAATGTTTCTATTGGGATTCCGGCGCAAATGCCAAGCAGTACAGCATGCCGTTTCCAAATTTCTGGTCGAGTAAATTGCGTTATTGTTTTCGTTTTCACACAGACGGTGCCCGACAAACTGTACTATATTACGCTGTGGAAAAATCTAAAACGCTCATGCGTGAAATTAAATATATAAAATGGCGACAATTTACCCATCGCACCCTGTATTCTACCTTCTTATAGTAAATAAAACTTTCTTGTAAATATATTTATTAGACATTTGGTCTATGTAATAAGATTTAATTTAGTGTAAATCACATATTGCTTAAAACTACATTCGCTATTTGTGAAATATCTCTCTGTTTATATTTACAATTAAATTCCGTAATAAATTATTACTAATTTCTTTCTTCAATTTTAATGATGAATGTTTCAATCTAAATAGCTCTTCCTTCGTTATATCATAACAAGTAATAAAAAATAGGTTACATACAGCAATGTTCAATACCAAAGGCAGGGGAGCGGCAAGAGGAAATCTTCACAACAGACAACCAAAGCAGAACTCCATGGAAGAAATTTAATTCTGTGCTTGTGGTGGGATCATCGATCTATTATTCATTTAGCCATATTGAAAAAACAACGAAACTCTAAATGCACATTTATATGTCCATCATCTGCAACGTGTCCATAAATATTTGGTCGAAAAGCGCCCTGCGCTCGTCAATAGGAAAAACGTTGTACTCGACCATGACACGGCGTGGCCGCATACAAGAATAATAATACAGAAATGGCCTCTTCCACGTCACGCGCCCTATTTACCTGTCCTTGCCTAAACAGATTATTACATATTTCAGTTGCTGCAATGCTTTCTCTAATGAAAACCAGATTCAAGAGTTCGTCGAAATTTTTCTCGCATCAAAACCTGCGTAATTTTACACTGAATTTACTTCAGATCTGCTTGATAAGTAGCAACAATTCTTTTTTAATAATGGTTGATATATAATTGAATAAAATGTAATTATATTTTATTTTTTAAAGAATAAATTTGGTAAACAAAAACAAATATTATTTTTGATTTAACGTAATATTATGCAATTAGTAAAGTATTAGTATAATTTCGGGTAGACTACTACTACATCTGGTCTCAAAATATTGCCTGAGTTAATTTACCTCCAAGTTACTTCAACGTTGCATATAAGATGCGGGTAATAATCTGAAGACATTTTAGAGAGAGAAAGAAAAAACGGGTTTTCCATCAAATACGGTAAAGGAATTCTGTGAAGATGATGCCAAGATCTATTTTGATGAGATTTTTGTCGATGCTATTTGTACAAAAATGAAAGAGAAAACAGAAAAGGAATGCAAAAAAGATAGAAAAATAAACAGAAAAAACATAAATGTTTCCATGGACGTAGGTGTGTCTATTTACACGAATATTTCTTCTCTCTTTTTCTCATCAGTATATTTCTGGTTCTTTTTCATTTCACTAGTCCCTTTTCCTTCCATTTTCGATTCTCAATATTATCGTATATCAGTAATAGCGAGACACCTACTGTCGAACGAATTCATCCCACTAAAATGACATACAATATTAGCCTGTTAGGTAAAATTTGCGCAAGATTTTTTTAAGCATATATTAATTTTTAAGACATTTTTATGTTTATACATTCTTTTTTTAGATACAAATATTTAAGTAAATGCTATGTTTATAATAAACAGTATTAACAATATCTACCGGCCTGAATGTCCCAGAAATTGTCATAGAAAATATGCGTCCTCCGACAGGAATCGAACCTGTATCCTATACAGAACCGTCATATAGCCTGACGTGCTTTTACCGATTTCGCCACAGAGGAGCGTTTCGGTTAGCAAGGTCAAATTTTAGTTTAAAACAGTAAAATATTTTTTTTGAAAGAAAAGGAACGTCACTTAGCTGATTGATGTAATAGTTCTAATGAATGCTGAAAAAACATGCAAAAGTGCTCAAAGAAAAATGATATTCAGGAGCTAAGGCAGTAGCGGTATCAAAGATAGTGTAAAGCCAGTCAGGCATTGAGATACTGAGAGAAAAATCATATAAAGCAAGCAGTCTTTGCAATAAAGTGCTCAATATCAGAGATAGAGCATTAATAGAATTAATACACGTAAAAGTTTTCTGACTTAGCTGATTGATTTAATAGCAGAAATGAATGCTGTGAAAAAGTGACGAGAGGTCTTTTTTAATAGAAGCAGTTATAACTGTCCCAGATTATTGTAAATTTAATACATCATTAAGGAACATCTAATAAAGCTATCTGCCAACGTTTGTTATTCCAGATTAAAAGAGACGTCTGTAACAGCTGTTTGAATACAACATAATAAACACTACTTAACTAGCTTGCAGAATGCAGTAAGGATAAGAATTGGAAACTTAGTATGTAATAACGTTTTGTTTTTTGACATAGCGTCACATCCAAAATATCCGTCACCGTCTCTCCATTGAAACCACGGTCCCTGTGACTTTTGATTGTCCCCCAGGCTGAAGGTAAATATCAGGTTTTTTTTTTTTTTTAATTATTGAGAATATGGAGGGAGGTTTGACAAGGGTTCTGCACAGGTTCATTTTGATTAACTTCCATTTGTCCTTCAGCAAGTTACTGAAATTCTACAAATGATTTGACGTCAGTGGACCCTACTTTGAAGCAGGTTAGAGTTTTGTACTTCTTTGATATTAATAACGCCTCTCCTGAAAAAAATCTCAAACCATCTGGAATTAACTTCGTATATTCACATAGCATTTTATGTATTTTTATTTATGGATATTTCGATTGAAATTTTGTTTGAATAATTTTTGAAACACATCTTGAAAGAACGAGCAATCAAGTTTGAAATAATTTAAAATAAAATTTAATTTTATAAAGATGACATTTTACTTGCTAGATTGACGTAGTTGGATTATAAATTGTTTTTCCCGAGAAACTTCATACGACTCTCAAATTGCGCCAGATTTGACTTTATTCAAATACGAAACGGATAGCATTACATAATGAATGAAAGGGAGAAACAAAAAGTTACAGAGAGAGGGAGAGACAGGAATATGGGTGTAAGAAAATATATAAAGAGCAAGAACAATACATAAATAAAATACTTACTTCTGTATATACGTCAAAGAGGAAACACTGCAGTGTCTTAGATTTACAGAGTCCGGTTGTATTAAGCTGCAATTTCTCTTCAGATAATAAAGAAAATCAGGTTTCCAAACGTAGCCAATATCTGTTTTCCTGAGATGCCATTAACGCTTGGATGATTCTTATACACTGAAACATAACTTTTAATTTAGAATTGGAGTAAATCAAAGCTGAACACCTGCTTTTGAGCGATGAATTCTATGTGAATATTTCAAATTATTGTTTCTGTGTTTGATCCTTGTTTGTTATTTCACTCTTGTGTCATAGGAAACGAGGATTATTTTGTTCTTTTGTTTTTTAGAGAAAACGCTTTTAGTGACTGGCAGCGATCTATTAATTTATCATCATTGTTAATGTCGCTAAGTCCGGGCTTCTTTTGAGGTATTAGCATAACTAAAGTTATGCTTAGCGAATATTATGGGCTCCTATTTTAGAAGGTCAGAAGCTCTGACTATTTCGATGTTCGCTCCTCATGAAATACTTTATACTTGTGACATTTTAACAAACATAGCCATCCATAAAAAACAAAAATTGATCTTTAAATATGATGGCAGATTAAAATAAGCAGAAATGAAAAATTGAAGAAATGAAGAAAAATAAATGAAGAGAATAATAAAAGATATTAATAAACGAAAGACAGCATGAATATAATAAATAGTAGAACAGAGAGGCGTTAGTAACGTGCTGACATTCTGTGACACGTTAGCAGGTGTATGAAGCGACACAACAAAGTACAAAAGGCGACGAATTAAATAATATAAAAAAAGAGGGAGCAATAAGTAGAAAATATAGGAAAAGAAAATCATTCATCCAACCTTAACATCACCGGATTTTCGGCTGATATATTATTTCATACCACCAGAACCAGAATGAACAAGAGGGTTTGAAAAGAAAAATAAAGCAAATAAAATTAAAATCATAGATTAAAACAATATTCTAAATACTGCATTGAGAAGACAAGTATACATATGAGAAAGTAAAAAAGAAAATATGCCTGTCTGCTGGCTGGCTAACAATATTTTCAGAGTAACGCAAACTTGGTTAGCAGAGGATCGATGTACAGAGAGAGTGAATTAATTAAAATATCCGGTGACCGTTTTTAGTGCTCAGAGGCTTATTGAGATTTATTCATTATCGACATCGCTGTTGGATTCCCATCAGGATAATATTGAATTGGCTACAATGACCTGACGACTTTTTTTCCAAACAGACCCAGGGTCTGCTCTCATTTTAGCGTCATTTAAGTACAAGATAGTTTTCGTTTTAGGTTCGAAAAACTTACCTTCGATGCACACACACACACACACACATATATATATATATATATACATACATATATATATATATATATATATATATATATATATATATATATATATAAAGAGAGAGAGAAAAGAGAGAGAGAGAATATGGATATGTAACTGTTGTACATATGAACCTATAAACTTGTCTCTTCTCCTCCACACTTTCTCTGTATATCTCTACCCCACTCAGTCTCTCTCTCTCTCTCTCTCTATCTATCTATCTATCTATCTATCTATTTATCTATCTATCTCTCTCTCTCTCTTTGTCTTTTCTTTATTAG